GATGGGGGGGACGCATAGGGGGATGGCAGGCGGAATTTTTTGACTTGTGGCCTTGATGTACTTTCTAAAGCACATGTCCAATTGACTTCTGGAATTTTATTTGGATTGTGTATTAAAAATGTATCTGTAAGCATGGCAAATACAAAATGTAAGCTTCTCATAATTGAAAGGTCATTGTAAATCTTACCTGAATAGTAAATTAATTGAGATTCAACAGACTGCTGCTGCAGCTACCAAATCTCAGCATTTTGATCCTACTATGATGCTCAAGGACTTCTGCTCAGTAGAGGTACTGGGAAGGTATTCTGGGGAAGTATGACTACATAGCTGACCTGGTTTTCTTCTCCTCCCTTGACATTTGCTATTGGCCATTGTGAGAAATAGGATGTGGACCAAGATGGACTTTTCATGTGTGTCCCGGGTACTCGAGAGGCTGTGCCAGTTAAAACATGTAAACTACGACATTTTCATGTACATAGAGCAAACATCCTCCTGGATTTGAGTTTATAGTCCTCCCGAGTTTATAATTCAGCTTCTATGGGATTCTCAAGCCCAAAACAAGGGCACCAGCGGACATTTTCATGTCATATATATTAGTGTGGGCTTTCCGCAAGAGGCGGCAAAAAAGAAGAGGTTGGAGATCCAGGTTGAAATTCTTCCTTCTTTATGATTTACTCGGATGTCTTTTCTCTTTCTGGTGAATTCTCCAGCTAATAAGCCACCAGCTCAAGCTCATACGGTGTTCTAGCATAAATCTTCCTTATTTCTCCAGTTAATGTGCTTCTGCCTTGTATAAAATATTCACTGGGGTTGAGTGCCTTGAATAACAGATTGTAGAATAATTTTCACACTCTCGCCCAGCCTGCACAGTCGTCGTTCCAAAATACATTGTTTCACCTCAGAAAGATTTTTGGTTTAAATAGTGTCATGTCTGTGTATTGGTTTACATGAAAATGATTTGGTATTAACTATAATTCAAGGTGTGGAATAAAAGAATGTTTCGGGAGTATTATGGACATCCATGGTGGCCTATGAGATCATAGAATCATAGAACAGAATATCTCATGTTGGAAGGGACCTATAACAATGATCAAGTCCAACTCCCTGCTCCTTCCAGGACAACATAAAACTAAATCATATGACTGTAGTACACATCATATGACATAGTGCACAAAAAAGTGAAGTAGCGAAATGCACAGCAAAATTTGTATGGCATCATTTGAGTGCCAAAACATTTTAGTTGGTCTTTTTGCTTATAATAGTATTATTGTGTGACTCTCATATACAATGTTGACAGAGAAGGTAAGAAAACATGCATTATTGATGCTAAGTTTTCTGGTCCCACTTGAGGAGATGAAAACCCAGAATCAAGTTATGCAGTATGACTTTGTTTATACCAACTGGTTGTATTAATTATGTGTGTGTGTCTCTGTGTATGTAATTAATTTCTGAGCTTGAGATGTGTACAAAACATTTTGAACTGAGAGGTGAGCTGCAGTTTACTGTAACAAAATAAACCTCATGTAATTTCATATCTTGCAGTCAATACTATAAACTGTAATTGAAGTTAAATTTCCTTGAAGACTGTAGTGTCACAGAGACAAATGTTTGTACTGGAAATTAAGCATTTAACTTTGTGATACTTTGAACTTTGGGAATGCACTCGTTCCCTTTCTTCGTTAATGTACTGATAATAGAAAATATGTACTGATAACACTAAATAAAGATTAAATTTAAATACTCTTACTAACAGTGATTTTCAGAATTTTTATTAATAGATTCCAGTCTGTAAAGCTAAGTGCTTTTTACCATCTGGAGTTTTATGTGAAAGTTTTGCATTTCAAATGTCCAGTTTTAAAGGTAGTAAAAAGAAGGACAAAGAGAACGTGAAGGTTATTTGTCCTGTTCCTTGAGCAGTATTTAAAGTATCTGAGATTTAAATACACAGAGATTTCTGTGCAAAGGTATGAATTTTATTTAAAGAAAAAAGTTAATTCAAATAATGCAATTATGTCAGCATTACCTGTTAAGCAAAAATACTATTTTTATCATAGCTCTTTTGTTATGGGGTTTTGGTGACCTCTGAAGATTTTTGATGTGATGCAAGCGACTCTTAAAACTTGTACCTACTATGGTGCACAATAGAAAAGCTTGTAGACCTGAGGCTCAGCAGCAAATTATCACCAGTAAGCTGGGCTGTGGGATAAGTGTTTTCACACAAGCAGCAGCAGGAGCTGTCATTGTAGTTCTGGAGTCTTTGCTGTAATTCTTAACCCAGCTGCATTTATAAATCTTTATGTGGACTCTGGTTGTACATCTGTTTCCTCATCCAGATAAAATGGTATGTCTTGCTTCCTAATGTCTGCAATTAAAACATCTAAATAGGTTCTGCATCTAAAAAGTTAGTGTTGCTTATAGTGATGATATTCAGTATTTTTGTTATTGGTTTCCTGTACTAGAACTCTGTCCTAAGACTGTTTAAACCTCTGTGGACAGGTTATTTACTTTCTTCTGGAAGTCCATCCCTATTGCAATCCATATTTACCATCTTAATAAATATGGTGTGCTTCTTGCTTTTAAGGTATTATCTCACTTTTAGAAAACTCACCCTGCTGCGTGTGACTTTTTGCAGCCTAATTATCTCTTGTGTAGAC